GAATGGTCTTCACATACTGCCTTTCTTTTTTATTTAAAAGGTAGAACCAATTCATGTAGGAGGATTTTTTGTTGTTGTTGTTGAAAGAAGTATTTCTCAGATGTTCTGCTTCTGTTCCTATTCCTGGCTTTTATGGATGTTTATAAACCTGAACAGAGAAAATCAGAAAAAGCCAAACAAACCAATCCAGCTTCCTTGCAGTCGTCTGTCATTCTCATTTTTGAAAGAAAAGTTAATTTTATGGTGGCTCTGTCAAACATGAAACAACCTTGTTTAAACATTGAGCTATCTTTGCACAAATGTACGTGTGTTTGGAATATTGTATGTTATTTCTGTTTTGGAAGACATTTATGTACTGCTCCTTCCAACTATTTTCAAAATCACTGTTCCAAATCACTACAGAGGAATATGAGAAAACATTTATTTTTTTATGTGGAAACATAGCGTCTTGAAAGAAGCAGCACGCGCTTGTAGTTGCAACTTGACAGCCTACGTTGAAGCTGTTCTGCTACACAAAACTGCATGCTGTCATGTTTTGTTCTCTTAGGCTGTGAAACCCATCTTGAAACTGAGAGTTAAGCAGAAATTCTTTTATCTTTATTTTGGCATTCTTTTGAAACGGGCTGCTGGGAGAATGGATGTTGCTCTGATACTATGTAATCTTTCATTTTCCCTGCAGTTGGATTTCATAGCTTTGGAAATCAGAAACTTGTTGAGCTGTTAGCTACTTGGAAGCAAATTATATTTAGGTGACAAACCAGCTTGGGGCTATAGGTGTGGATGGGCAGTTTGGCCGTGTAATTTCTATTTACTTCCCATCATAATCTCTCTCGACCGTAATTGTTAACACCGTCATCATAAAACATGAGGTCAATGATTCTAGCTCTGACTTTTTGAAGAAAATATCAAAATTTATTTCTAATTATGGGAAGTTTAAGGGCTTGATAACAAGAATTTTTAAAGTTTTGTAATAGTGAAAAAAGTGCTCTGTTTCAGACCACTTTTAAGGGTGGGAATTAATGGGAGGAGCTCTTCACATTACCTGAAATGTGGTTCCCATACTTACCTGAACGCTGTCTCTTTTGCTTCTAAGGCATATCTGTTGCCATGAACTGGGAAAATTGCACAAAACCTGCTGTTTTCTGTTTCTCATTTATTCTTTATGCAGGAGCATGTGGCATGGTTATGTTTGGCAGGAGACATGGGTACAGAGAAATCTGCAAGGGATGTTCGGTCCTTCACAGTCTATTTTGTACAGATACACCTGCTGGAATTTGAAATGTGTGGTAAAACCAAATGTTGGCTTGAGGTTTTTCTGTGCTTTTCAGGCAGTGTAATTTTCTGCTTTCTTAAATACAGGAAAACTACAGAAAGCAGTAGAACTTTCTATTGAGACAAATTAGCCAGGCTGGGCTTCTCAGTTTCTGTTGTGGAAATACTGCAGCATTTTAATCAAGGCAAACCAGCAGACTTGACAAAAGCAAATCTGTATCAGTGAAAGCAGGTTCTTTGATTAGCATGGCATAACCTGTGCTGTGGAGCATGGCAACATGGCAGAGAGACCTGTTAGTTTTCTGGAGCATTTCCTATGCAGCTACAGCGACAGTAGTGAAATGTCAGATGAGTCCCCAGAAGAGGTGAGTAGAAACCAGCTTCTTCTCTTAGCAATGATGTTTTCCAAAGCAATCTCAGTGCCACCATTTAAAAGTTCATTGGAATCTTTTGCATGATGGAAGGCTTTGTTTCTGTTGCTGTCTTCCACCTGCTCTAGACCTGGTTTTGCAGTGGTGATTATGTGACCAGCCAATTCACGCTGTATAGAAAGCAGAATCAGATGAGGGAATGTGTGAAAACTTTGTAATCATCTAGTTAACTTAAATCTTGAAGAAGACATCACTGTCCAGAACTTGCAGCTTTGCCTTTTCTTCCCCATAATTATGCTGTGTGGGAAGGTAATCTGGCATCTCTAAGTTCTTAAGGAGAAACTGGAGAAGATCTCATTCCACAGTGTTTCCACTGACTGACTAGGAGAAGGGGAAAAAAAATCAGTTGAAAGTTGCCTTTATTTTAGCCTCTGATACACAGTACGTGATCATAATTGAGTAATTGCAGACATATTCTGTGGAGTACATGGGCTGTGGTGATGTTTTCTGTACTTCAGTCACTTATTTTATTAATTTCATTTTTTGTTCACTTAGTGAAGAGTCTGTAAACTTCTTAGGGGGCTAGAGATCCTACAAACTCAAAAATGTGTTCAAAAGCTAATCAAGGAAACACTTTCCTTTTTTAGTCAGTTAACTATGCTGGTATGGATGAACAAGTATAGTGTCTGTATTAAATTCTAGACTTGTCTGTGTAGTACTTTCTCAGCTGTCAGCTATAATTATACCTGCAACTGTTAGAACATTTACTCTCTGAAACACAGTGAGAGCATAAGTGGATTTTTGGCATGTTCTTTTTTTGCTGCCTTCTTGCAGTGGTGGAAAGGAATGTGTGCCAAAATAGATGAATAAAGGAAATGCATAGGTGAGAATTGTTCATATTGGTGCCTCCTGTTCCTTGCCTCACATATGACTTCTGACGGTTTTCCTTTCTTGGGTTCAGTTTAACTGGCTTCTCTGAGGTCAATTGCATAAGGATGCTATAGTTGTGAACTTTGCTTTCAGACCTTAAATGTGATGAAAGAAAGACTGACAAGGAAGAAAATATTTGCAGAGATGCTTGCTGTGGTAGTATGACATGAATCAAAGTTTAGGAGAATGGGTGGGAAAATTCTTTGAACTGGTAAACTGACAGATTTGGTTTCAGAGCAGGTAAGTTATCACTCCTGCTCTTGGCCAGCAACATTATAGTAAATAATAGCAACATTATACTTAATAACACACAATAAAAGAGTGGAGAAAAATTAGTCACTGGTAGCCAATAAAATTGTTACTTCTCAAAGACATCTCCAAACTTGCACATTCTTAGCAGGTTTTCAGAGACGTGAGATGACCAATTACTAAATATATGTCACACGTACAGAAAGAACTTCCAAAGAGTCTCTAGGGAAAGCCTCTCTCGTCTCTGTTCTCTCCAGTTTGGTAATTTGTTTTTAATGTCTGAAAAGTCCATATTTTGAAATTAAATAGGCTTTTTCTTCTTTAAAGGAAAGCTTTGGGGAATGTGTTTTGCTTCAATTTATAGACCAATCCCTGAAGGAAAGGTATTGCAGAAGAACTCCTCTTGCAAGTGTGTCACTTCTGGAATTAGAAACAGGGACAGAGAAGTTAAGTGAATGATGTGGCATCTTCCAGGGGCTGGCTCAGGAAAGTTTTTCTGTGTTATTTGTGCGTCTTTCTTCAGTGTAAGTTCAAGTCTTAAGAACTACAATAATCTTGAATTTACTGAAGGTAGCCTTGAACATTTTGTTTGTTTATAGCCTTTTCCAAAAACTTGCTGGGAAAAGGAGCACTAGTATGGCAAAGATCAGTTATTGCAGAGCATCTGATTTGTGCATTACTGCTGTAGGACACGTGATGATGGATAGTGTGTCTCTTACTGAGAGTTGGGTCAAAATACGTCTAGCAGCACAAAACCTCTAATTAGGCTGCAAATTATTTTGTGTTATTTGTGCAAGAAGTGATAAGAATGGGATTGAAAACAGTACAACAGAGTGGCTTTTTTTTGCCTGTTCATCAGATAGTAATTTAAAGTCCTAAGGGAAAAAATCTTCAGTCGTAGCAGTCTCTCTCCTCAAGGCTCTGTGCACCTCTGCCATAGGTCTTGGGGCTCTGGCTTAGACTTCAGGGGAACTTCAGGAAGCTGATTGCTGTGTTTTAAATAGGGTGAGCAGCACTTGAACACAGAAGACCCTGAAGAAGCCTGTTAATATTTGAAAGCAGCCATACAGAGGTTAAAAGGCAGCCTGACAGCCCTGTTGGAGCAGTACTTTCTGATGAAGTGGAAGAATTAGGAAGACAGAAATACAGAGAAATATTTTTAATACTTGAGTAAGCATCTGTGGTGGGGGGAAACCCGCTACAGCATTTAAAAAGTTCTTGCTTTTACGTACTTAAACTCCAGTAGAAATTTTCTGATCCCTTTTGAGTCTCCCAGCTGCAATAGAGCAGCCAGCAATGGGAGTTATACGTAGTCTGTGGTACTTTGGTGAGGAACTGGGAAATGTCACGGGTTCATAAATTCAGACCATTCTATTGTAGAGCATTTTTTTGTGTAGAAGCTGATATTGTTGCTGTGAGATAATTGAAGGAAACTGTTCTCTCAAAGATACAGCAAAGCTGCTACTTTGCTGATAAAATACCATGTTGCATTTGGATTTTTTCACCTGTCTATGCTGCAGAACTGTTTGGTTTATGAAATGTAGCTATCCAGAAGGTCAGTGGTGGTGATATAGTCTGTATTTGCCTAAGCAATGTAATGAAGGCCCTCCTTTTTGTACTAGGAATGTAAACTCTTTGTCTTGCTTTTCAAAATTCTCTGCTTCCTCCTTCTCTTCCCTAGCTGTTGTCTCTTGTTCAGTCTCAAAGATCAATTCCTGCCTCTCCCCATGATTGTGAAGCTGGGCTTACTTGCTTACTTGTATTGCTTTCTTGTTTTTCAAACAGACATCTTTGTGAGTTCTCCCCATGTTGCCTCTCAGGCTTCAAAGCAGCCCTCCAGAAACATTCCCAGCGCTTTCTCCTTGCTTCTTAAGGCCTTGCAATGGTATCCACAAATGCTTGAGGAGGGCTAATGCTTCTGAGGTGGTTTTGTTTTGAATATTAAACAGATAGTAGTGTCATTTTGTTTCTTTATTTGTGCATTTCCTTATCTCCTTTCACATTCTTATCTCTTTTTGGCAAATACTGCTTTTTGCACTGACCCAGAGGTAGTGCTTGTGGCTCTTTAGTAAACCAGGTTTTTAGTAAGACCTTGCGTGTGTTTGTCACAGTGTTTAAAGAAAGTACTGCAATAAAGAGGCCATTAAGTTATTAATGTATCTGTTCTACCTTCCACAGAAGCCCCTTGTGCTACTCCACTGATCTGTAGCTTTGGAAGGCCGGTGGACCTGGAGAAGGATGACTACCAGAAGGTTATATGCAACAACGAGCACTGCCCCTACAGCACTTGGATGCACCTTCAGTGCTTCTACGAGTGGGAAAGCAGCATCCTTGTCCAGTTCAATTGCATTGGCAGAGCCAGGAGCTGGAACGAAAAGCAGTGTCGCCAAAACATGTGGACCAAGAAGGGATATGACCTGGCTTTTCGGTTTTGCTCTTGTCGGTGTGGGCAGGGTCATTTGAAGAAGGACACGGACTGGTACCAGGTGAAGCGAATGCAGGATGACAAGAAGAAGAAATCAGTGTTGGAGAAGAGTACAGGAAGGTCCATGACAGAGTCAGCAGAGGAGGCCAAAAAAGGCAGGCCGGCCAACAAGCCGCAGAAAGGCTTGAGTAATGACCTCCAGCGGAGGCACTCTATGGACAGGCAGAATTCCCAGGAGAAGGGCGTCATGGGCGGCAGCTACGCCGTTCGCTCGCCTTGTGTCTCTCCCGGCCAGTCCCCGCCCACCGGCTACTCTATCCTCGCCCCCACGCATTTCAGCGGCCCTCGTTCCTCCCGATACCTGGGAGAGTTTTTGAAGAATGCCATTCACCTGGAGCCCCACAAGAAGAACATGGCTGGTGGGGGCATGTTCAGGAATGCACATTTTGATTACGGGGCAGCTGGCTTGCAAGCACATAGATCAGGACACTTCGATACCCCCGTGCAGTTTCTGAGAAGGCTCGATCTATCTGAGCTGCTCACTCACATCCCCAGGCATAAATTGAATACTTTCCACGTGCGGATGGAAGACGATGCCCAGGTGGGCCAAGGGGAGGACCTTCGGAAGTTCATCCTTGCTGCTCTCAGTGCCAGCCACAGGAACGTTGTAAACTGTGCTCTGTGCCACAGGGCGCTGCCAGTGTTTGAACAGTTTCCGCTGGTGGATGGGACCCTGTTCCTTAGCCCATCGAGACATGATGAGATTGAATATGATGTTCCCTGTCACCTTCAAGGTACAGGTTGTCTGTCAGTCATGCTAGGTTTCATTAAATGATGGAACTGCCTTCTGTGCCCTGTCCCTGCCATTACAGATTTTCATCCCGATTCTGCATTTTTAAGCAGTTCTGTAAAGCCTGAAGTAATGTCCAAAATACTCACGTGGATCAGATTGAAACACTTAGAAGGAATTACAAAAAGATGCCGTATAGAAAGATCCATGGCTTGTGTTTGGGCTTACAACTAAACAAGTTCTGATCTGATTTCTAGGTAGACCGTGAGAAGATTTTCCAGCCAATCTGTTCTGGAGCATATGCTTGCTCATTTATCTCTTGAGAGCATGCATCAACCTTTTAAGCAACCTTTTCAATTTAAGCATGCTTTGCTGCAGCCTGGGTGAAAATTGTATTTGTGCCACTGATGAGGGTGAGGTACCTCTCATCTGCTTTCAGACTAGAGAGTATCAGTTTTGTTTTGTAGCGAGGTACTATTTCGTAAACATGGAAAAGGCTGTAGTCTGGCCTGTGTTAACGCAGGCCTGGAAGAGTTGGATGCTTTTAATATGAGTAAGCTTTTAATATGGTGTGTTAAAATTGTAGTAGTGTATTAGGGAAGGTATTAGACTTATTTCCAAACTTGGACGTGCTTGACCTATGTCTTGATAATGTCCTTGGTCTCAGATGAGTTGAGACCACAGCATGTGTTTCTTTTTTCCTCCTAGAGGAACAGATGAGTGTGGGCCAGTGTGAGCCTTAGCTCTTCCTGAAAGCTGTGGCCCAGACTTAAGTGATCAGGGTGGTACATGGCTAGATGTGCCTGTGCTACAGCCTGCTGGCAGCCAGCATGGCTAAAATAAGTCAGATAAGGTATTCCTAGTCTGGTGGTCAAAAGCATAGAATTGTATGTTAAAACATGTGTTGGTAAGGCATTAACCAGAAGTATTTTAACATTAAAGTTTCTCACCTTTCAATAAAATACATTGTATCCCATGCATGGTCATAATACGTGTTATGTAACATATCTTTGCTCAGTAAACTTTGTGTTTTATTTTTTTTCTTTCTTTAAATCACTGTGCACTAAGCCACTAAACTGTATTCATGCTAACATTATTGTTTCTGTCTTGCCTAATGTACTTTAAAGAGAAAAAAGGATAGGCAAATATACAAGCCCAAAAAGTTCCAGGATAAATAGAGTATATGTATGTGAGATAACTATGCTTATTTGCTTTGGTGGGGAGTCGCACAATGTGCTTGTGATTTTATCAGTACAAAAAGCTGGTTTAGTAATAGTGAAACTCATTGTTTGTTAACATTTGCCTCTAAGAATGAAACTGTGAAATTATATTTTTTTACCTTAATTATTTCTTAACTGTTGGATGATATATCTGAAAAACTTGTTCAGACAAGTTGCTGTGACTAATTAATTGTTAAAATTTTTGCCTCCTTGTCCTGGGTAAAACGGTTTATTACCAGAAGTACTCTTTGAAATGAAATTAAGCTGTAAGGTACTATTCCAGGCTGTTACTTTCTTTTCAGTACAGAAAGTCACTTCAGACATGTTTAAGATACCAGGTGCCTCATTTCCTATACAAAAAATATCCTGAAAATTACGTGGTGGGGGAATGTACTATTTTAAATTGCAGAAACGGTGCAGAACTTCAGATGGGGAAAGTTATTTGTCCTCCTGCTCAACACAACTGCTGTGCATAGAGTTGTTTGAACGTCACCAATCTCAAGTGTTCCCTTTAGGAATGGAGTTTATTATATTATTAGGAACAAAGTTAATGATATGTGTTATATGTATATTATATGCACTTTAGTTTCATCCCATCATGTTTTATAAAGCTGAACATGCCAGTGTAGAATAAGTCAATTTTTACCAGCTCACACTAGCAAGTGCATTTTGTATGAGTAGTTTAAGATGAGTCTATTTTTCTTGTTTTTCTAAAATAGTTGGCTTAAAAACCAAAACAAGTAAAAACACAGACTGTTAATTTCGGAAGTGTCTGGTATAGACTAACCATAAATTACTAATATTTTGTTCCCATTTTTTGTAGAAGAGTTACAAGATGTGTGTCTGTTGAATTACAGTTTGTGATGTGTTCAGTGCTTTGATGCTAAAGAGCACAAATTGCAATCCAAGGTGAACACATGTTAGACACAGTCCTGCTTTGTTGCTGATCTGTAATTTCACTACTGCTTAACCCTGTCTTACATAGCAGTGCAAAATCTGGTACGTTACAGGATTTGTACTCGTTGTCAGGCCACTTCGAATAGCCAACTATTAAATTGCAAATCAATTTAGTCACTATGAGTCAGGCATAATCTAGTTTCCAGATCTTTATAATTTATGTAGGAATTTTGTTTTTTGGTGAAAGTTGGTCTCAGATTTTGCATTGGTTAGTTTAATCACATGTATGTAGTGAAAATATTTGATTTTCAAGTCTGAGCCACTTGTTTTTTATAGAAGTAAATGTTACTCAGGTTTTGAAATACAGAGTATTGTGCATACAGAGCCCAAGGTTGTGATAGAGCTCAATGTAGTCCTAGTTCTGAATGCCATGTTAAAGTCTTTGTATGTGCAATATATAATGTAAATATACTTGTTGTTAATGAACAGTCAGAAGAAAGTACATGAAAATAATTTGCTCTTCAGACTGTTGCATTTTTTCTGTGGGGAATATTAGGTCGTTGGTTCCCTTTTTGCTGGAAGATATGGGGAAGTTGTTAAACGAATCTGTACCAAGTTTGCTAATAAGCTTCAGCACTTCTCCACTTCTTATGTTAGGTGGGGATGAAGCTAGGGCAGTGTTCTGGTTTTGGAAACACAGCAGATGATCTTACAGCTTAACCTGGCATCTCTTCTTGGAGGTTTAGCAACTCCTTTTATAAAATATTTTGCTAAGACCTATCAGCAAGTGATGTAAGGGAGAGTGGGCAGGGTGATGACTAATTCCTGAGTTCTGCATAGCTTCAGTCAAGCCTTGTGTATTTCCTATAGAGAAGTACTTTATCATTCACTCTTTATAAAGAAAAAAAAAAAGATGTGATTTGTATCACTAAAGGTCAGATACCACATTTCAGAAAATGTCTGTTTTAATCTTCTCTTTCTGTCTCCTTAAGATGTGTCTTTTCTGTCCACAGGAAGGCTTATGCACCTCTATGCTGTTTGTGTAGACTGCTTAGAAGGGGTTCACAAAATTATCTGCATTAAGTGCAAGTCCCGGTGGGATGGAAGCTGGCATCAGCTGGGAACTATGTATACCTACGATATTCTGGCAGCATCTCCCTGTTGTCAGGTTAGTACCATACATAAGTAAGACTCACAAGGTGAAATTCCAACTGATCAGATAAAGTCAAGGCTGTGTATCTCTTCTCCCTTTCCTCCTTCCATCCTTCTTTTCCAGTCTGTACCTATGAGTGCAATACAGGAGGTCTGATGGTTCTCTCCCTTCGTCTTAAGAGGTGCAATGGCCTTTAAGTAGACTAAAGTCATTGCAAGGGTCAGTGGTTAATACACTTAGCTTTTTAAATACAGCTCCATTTAAATGCATTGGTAATTAAATCTTATGCTTCATCACTAGCATCACGAGTGTCAGGTATAGTTCCACATTTTCAGCAGATGTTTCATGTTTCCAGAGTTTTCAGTTCATAAATTGTCTTTTATCATAATTGTAGCAAGAAAGCAGCAAGGGAACAGAAAGGTTCAGAGTGTCTTTGTGCTTGGTGATTACTCAGCTTTCCTTAATCTTCGTTGTGGCTGACCCTGGTGATGGTACCCACCACAGCCTGAAGCAACATCATTAAATTCTCACCTAATCAACGCCTTGAGAGAGGAAGATCCAGTGCCTGGGGCTACTCCAGAGTAGATGTGTGCCTGAGACAGCAGGACTGTTTGCATTCCAGGGAATTAATTGTGCGTGTGGTGGACAGAGCACTTCTGCTGTGCAGGTAGGGGTAGACAGCTGTGAAAAAAACATCTGTCTGGGAATGATTCAGTGCTCTGCTCGAGATGCTTGGACACACAGGTGGTGGTTGTAGGTTAGGACAGGAGCCTTGCAGAGATGCACCCATTCAAGTTGGGATCCCTTTATGGTAATGTGCATATTTAAAGCCATCTGAAATACCATTTTGTCAGTATGCAAAATGACGGTTTAAATTTAACGTATTTACCAAAATGTGTTGCTCAGAAGGCATGTGGTATTGCTGCTGCTGGTTAAGGTGACATTGGTAGCAATTATAACTACAGACTGATATATTACCTCCAAATTTAATTTCTCTTGAGGTTGTAACTTTTTTTAAAAATAGAAACTTTTAAAGGTAAAGAAAGCACTGATACTGACTTTCTACCTTTGTAAAAGTCAGCAGCTTTAAATCTGAATTGCTTCTGTTGAATGTACAAGAAAAGATTTAAGAGCTCATTATACAAGAGCCTTAATTACATGATTAATGGACAGTGTGACAGTACATGGTATAAGAACTGACTATAAAAGCATTAGCTGCAATGACTGTGATTGCCAGATAATAAGCATTATTGTTTCACCATGATTGCTACAGATGGTTCTGTGCATACAGAAAAGTGACATTTAAATATGATACATAATGTAATTCCAAATTGCCTTTCTGGATTTATTTTGAGTAATTTCATGCCTTACTTCAAAATATTTAGTCCTACATCACAAATCTGCACGTAGAATAATGAACTGCAGCCATTGTCAGATTACTAACTCTTAGCTGATGCGCTGGACAGTAGTAAAGGAGAAAACATTTTGGTTAAGAATTCCATAAAAATTCATAACCTAGTAGATTGTATTTCTTAAAATTTTTGCTTTTCAAGCAGAGCAGAAAATATAGAAAAATAGTAATGAAGCTGTTGATTTGTTTCTTTTTGAGTCTGGTCTCAACAGGGATAGTACTTTAATAATTTCCTCCTCTCCTCATTCAGGAAAATCGCTTAAATCAAGACAGCCTAGACAATACTTTTTCTTCTTTTCAGTGGAGGGCTGAAGCTTTCATTAGTGTACTGGGCTGTGAGGTTAAACTACGGTGCAGCTCAGGCCCTCACTGCTCATTTGTCACCTTTACTCTTTAACTTCTTCACAGTGTCAAATCCTTTCTGCTTCTCTTGAGTATTCCAAAGGGCTTGCTGAGCTTTCATGCTGCCTGTTGCTTTCTTTGTATCAGATGGGCTGTGTTTCTCAGCTAGATTTCTTCTGAAGTCTCACCTTTTTGTAACAGCTGAATATTAATAGCTCTGTCCTTCCTCACCTATGACCTTGAATTATTTCTCATATCCACCCAGTTGATGTTGCTTCTTTCTCAGCTGGATTTTGTAGAATAGTTTTTGTGTTGATGTTTAGTTTGTGTAACCTGATATGTACTATAAATGTTTAAATAGATACTTAAAGTGACATAATGCCATGTTGTGCTGATAAAGCAGATCAAGTTTTACGTTTGTTAAGCCAAAAGATTAAAATGCTGGTGTATTTCATAGACAGATGATGTTCAAACGTCAACCTAAGTGGTTGAATTGCATGACACAAACATGAAATTTCTCTCTTTGCTTTGATGCTTCATTAATGATTTATTGAGACACTGCTTCTTGTGCTGGGACTTGAGGAATTGATTCAGAGTTTACGCAGCACAAAATAAAACCTTGATATTCTCTACCTCCCATCAGTCAGAGTGGGAGGTGACCCACTCCCCAGAATTTGGTGGTGGTCTTCAATGTGAAAGGCATGGTGTGTGCCTGTGCGTTCCCAGTGCAGGTGAGGAATGTCCTTACCAGCACGTGCCATTACTGACAGTCCTGACTGATCCCTTCTCCTGCTGAGGAGGACAGGGGGCTGCCTCTGGCACCTTCTTTTCCAGAGGTGAGAAGCTGAGGGGAGTGTGCTTATTTCAAAAAGTCTTTTTTGTTTGTTTCTTTGTTTTTTACAGGCTCGACTGAACTGTAAGCACTGTGGGAAGCCAGTAATAGACGTGCGGATTGGCATGCAGTATTTCTCTGAATACAGCAACGTCCAGCAGTGTCCTCACTGTGGAAATCTAGACTACCACTTCGTGAAGCCATTTTCTTCATTTAAAGTTTTGGAGGCTTATTGACGAAAGCTTTGCTTTAGTAATAGCTATTTTATGGGTATTTCAACTTTATTACATATCTTTTTATAGGATTCATTCTGTGATGAAATCTAATTTCTTTTCTAACTGAAAGAGCAGCTTCTTTGTCAGTGTACATATTAATATGTATATATACATGTTGTTAAAACCAGAATCCTCCTGACAAGATCTCTGTGAAGGTTGGAGGCAAGCCAATTTAATGGCCTTTCAGTATATCCCATGTGTGGGGTAAAGTTCAGCTAAAAATGATTTGGGTTTATTTTTTTGTATAGTTGTAATACAGTTTATAGGAAGGGTGTGGGGAGACATAAAGGACAGAGAAATATGTCCTGTTGGAAAATGGGTAATTGCATAGGGTTGTTCCTCCAGCTTGGTGGAAATGGGAAATCCTTGGAAAGAAATCTGTTACTGTTGAATTCATTTAGCCTTTTGCATTGGTTCCCAGGGGTGCAGGAGCTGGCCCTGTGTTGCCAGTCCCCTCAGCAGGCTTTCTTTCAGATTTCCCATGACCGGAGCAAACTAAGGTATCATGACAAGTGAATGTAAATGTGTGCCAGAAAATGCAATCTTGAGTGAATTCTTTTGGCATCCTGTCTTCCTGCCATGTGTGTTTGATGTGCATTGCCCTCACTGAGTTACAGTGCAGGCAATAGTGCTGCTTCCACCAGGGCTGTCATGTGCCCAGCTGGGTCATCTGCTCATACCAAAACAAGCTGGAAATCTTAAAATACATTATTTAAAGGTGTTTCTTCACAGACATTTTTAAGGGAAGGAACTGGCTGAGCTGAGCGGGGATGGGATTGTATGTGCCTGGTGGGACTGAGGCCTTGCTGCCTGCTGCAGGCTTGTGTGCCTGGTGTGGAAGGAGAGCCATGAAGTGGGAGCTGGTCCCTCAGACCTGTGTGAACTGAGAGGTACTGAGTACAAAACATGTCATCACTTTTTAAAACCATTCATTGCTGCACCTTCCTCTTTCAAAATTGTGTTCAGTACAGGATCTAAAAACAAGGAGATGTTTTAAGAAAGCAAACTTAGCATATTTACTTTCCACATGCCTATGTGCTGTACATAATAGACTGCATTAAGCAGTGAATTTGTATCAGAGGGCTTGGCCATGTAGACTCTGCAGTTGTTGTTTCTTGACTCCCATTTCTCTCTTCCTTAAATAAATTTTTTAAAATAGGTCATTAATCTTTTGCTTGGTTTCTCAAATCAGTTGAGATTTAAGGGACATTTGTTTTTTTATGCTTTTCTTGATAGCAAGAAGTGTTTGTCCACCGGAGAGGTGTGGGTTTTGTTTCTGTTTACATGGTGGGATTCTTTTTTGTTTCTTCTGAAGTCTTTTGTTTTTCCAAATTAGAATCCTTATAGAGTGTATCTGTTGAAATCACAGTCTTGAAAATGGCCCTGATAGTCTGCCACCCTGGGAAAGAAAACAAAACATTCAGAAGCCAAAACAGTGTTTTTTCCTGTGTTGGACTGAGAATTACACTTTCTGCTGAATTAAAAAAATTATCGTGCCTATAAAACTCAAGCTGAAGATCCATGTTTCTTTGGGCACAAAAATGCCAAGTTCAGAGTTTTACTTCCTGGCTGTCCTCACTACAGAATTAATTCCTTTTAGCATTAGCTACCCTTCAAGGAATACCCAGGCTGCACAGAGCATTTATGTTGGCACAGTTTGAGTGGCAGTGTCCTTGGGTGCCACACAGCTCATGTGGTCCAGTGCAGGTCTGAACAGCCGTGTTAGCAGGCTATGGTAGCCTTCAGCACTGGTGCTCCTCTCCTTCTGTGTGACTTCCTGGGCTTGGTTTTGGGTCTGGAGCACGTTCTTGGAGCTTTGTGCAGTTGTCCCCTTTGCAAGTTTTGGGAAAACCTGTTTCTTCTTCTGGGAGAATTATGGGAAAGACTTTGAGAGACTTCTAACACTGTCCTTTCATGGCTGACCAGCACTGCACCCATTGTCCATAGGAGCAGGACCTGGCCTGGGCATACCTGAGCAGGAAGAAGGTTTCTAGCAGATGAAACCTAATTAGCTGTGCAGTGTAGACTTCCCTTGTGAAGAGCAATCAAATTATAATTTGGATTAACTCCTTCAGAAGGATGAGCCCTTCAGCTGTGATGGTGTGTTGAGCAACCTGCTGGAGTTAGGGTGGCTAACAAGGTTGGAGTTGTGTTTCCTGGCAGTACCATGAGAACCAGACCAGACAGGAAACAGCAGCTGTTGCAGTGGCCTGAAATCATGCAGCAAAGACAAAGCTCCTGTAATTAAACAATTAAAGAGAGCAATTAAAGCTTACATCTCTTCCTGTAGGTTAGGGCTTGAGTGCCAGTCACACGTCATGAGTCTATTCCCACATAGGATACATGGCATTTGTGTGCCCACTTTTTTGTGCAGGGGTGAGAGGAAGTGTCACTGTACAATGCACATGGTAGGGGAGAAGTGGGATCTGGAGTTGTCCTAGATACTTGTTCACTTGCGTCTTAGAGTAGCCTAATTTATAATTCTGCCCTTTAAGTTCTTGGATGCCTCTCTAGACCTGTATGTGCGACAATCAGAAATGAGTAGACATGGAATAAAGGGAATATGATCAGCTTTAAAAACAAATGTATGAGAGATTGTATAATACATCCAAGTCAAAACCAGGAATGGAGCAGACTGAGAAAATGGGAAGGGGAAAGCACATTTAAAGTCTTAACGCTGACAAGGAATTACATACAAATCTATTTAAGAAAACAGTTTAGTTCTTTGCCAGCTTTTCATTTTAATTCTGCTGTTAAGTGAGTCTTATCTACTGCTTGAGGAAATGCCTATTTTCTTGTAAAACACATCTCTCAACTGGAGGCTAGCAGCACACATAGCACTGTAAAAATGATCCTTAGTGGAAACCAGCTGAGCTACAGAAAGATTCTTCTGAACTTTGACTCCAAAGTAAATTATCCCAAATTTGTAGAGGCTTTCCCTGCTTTTTGTTGGTACTGAAAGCTACTCTTGGGTTACTGCAAAATGCACGATTTTCTGTAACATGCAGATTCCAGTGAAGCAGTCAGCCCTCACCTTTGGCCAGGAGAGTTTCCTGGGCTTTGCAGAAGTAGAAGCACAAATGCAACTTCTTTGGGACCTTATGGCTACTTTGGAGGTTAAACTAGACCACAGTTGTTCTGCTTTCTGTCTTGACAAGCACTGGAAGTAGTTATGAGCTTACAAATGCATCATAAGGGAAATTGCCTCCCTAGCTAGGGAGCTGCTTGCTTTGCTTATTTGGCTAGTTGATTCTTCATTACCTTTCATTTTTCTGATGCTGTGTGTTCTTTTTAAGATGGCCCATGATCAGGTTAAATTTGCCTGAAATATGTTTTGTAAATGAGAATGTAGTCCTCTGGATTTGGAGGTTCATTCTACTCTTCTTAAGTGCACGATACTCCTTGTGATAATAATAGGAGTTGCATGTGCAAATGCTTTTCTTTCCAGTAGTTAACTCTCCTTTCTATAGGAGAGGCTTGCATTTAGGTAGACTTCATATTTTGGATGTGTAAAACTGATTTCATCCATCAGTAAGATGTCTATAAATAAATTTTGATAACCATAACTAACAAAATGGACATCTTTTACATGCTGATGTGTAATTTGACATCTACCAACGTGGACAGCCTGAAATTGTTGTTCTGTCTAATGCTGCAGAGTCATTGAAACTACAGTTTTTTATAGCCAGACCACAGACTATCCTATAGTCTATTTACATTAAAATCTCCAGTAATGAGCAGTGTATTCATAATGAGTTTAATTGGAAAAATAAGGAATATTTCTACAAGGGAGGCATCTACCCTAATATTTTTATTTTTTCCTTTTTTTTCCCCCCTCCCATGTATTCCTCATTTTGCTGTACCAAGTAGCCAAGGACAAACATGTTGTAAGGCCACTGGTGAGAAAACCCCTTAAAAATATACTTGTCCATAAAGGTTTCTTGTTGAGACATTCTTGGATTGCACTTTTGCAGATGGAAGAATATGTACATAGCGAATGAATGTTGATGAAATTAAAATAATTGGTTATGATATCATTTACGTGTGTTGTTAGAGAATATTTTGTTGTGAGTTCTCTGTATTAAAAAGTAATAAATACCAGACAGCTCATGGTGTGGGTTCTTCTTTCCCTGTTCTCTGGAGTAGTTTCTTACACCTGCTCTTTACAGAATTACTCCAGTTGCCTTAAGTTTGAAGGGCAGAGTAAAGCCAGGTTCTTGGTGTCAGTTAAAATGAAGCTGTGTTTGTTGTGCTACAGGGGTGATGGTGGGGTGTGTGTGATGTGTCACCTTGCCAATCTGAAGTCCTGTTCACTTTGTTGACGTCAGAATTGCTCCTTCTGTAGCGCAGTCGGTCCCGCAGGAGCAGTTTCAGGAATGCCAGTCTGCTGTGCCAGCTGCTGCCTGTGGGGCTGAGTGGAGGACAGAGTGCTGAATCCTTCACTTCTGGTGGAGACTGTTAATGGAAATGTACCCTCTGATGCCTGTGAAACATCAGAAGAGCTTCTGGAGGGGAGAACACAACAGGGTAGCACCTAGGATAAAAGCATTTCCCACATTATGACAGAACACTTCATCTCTGAAACCCGGCTGCAAATGTTTGCTTCCTGTCTAAGGTTTTTCAGCAGTTTAAGTAATCATGAAATCATCCATTTTAGCAAACCTTTCTCCATATGCTTATAGCATGATTTTTCAGCCTTTATATATTACACAGAGAAATTCAGGAAGGGTGCAAATGATCAAGGTCATCTGGACATACAAAGGTTGGAGCAAACACTGCTGGCAGTGAAGGAGTGCCACAGTTCAGGAGGCATAAAGTGGAATTTGGAGATTTGGAAACACTATCTAAAAAGCCCACTGTAGCAGTGCAGGTTTAATTTTGGAAGCAGATACTGCGGCTGGTTTGAATGACCTTGAAACTGGCAACCTGTATGTTGATTGTGAAAAGCCTTCTGGATAACTGCTGCTTGAAATACAGGTATCTGCTCGTGGGATGGGAACGTAAATAAGCTGTCATCAGCTAATTGCAAGTGACTGCAGTGATTCCATATTGATATTTTGCAGAAAGGAGAAAGGTTTAGGTCATGGTTTAAGCCTTAAAGCCAATGTGAGAAAACTAAATGAGAAATAATATTTTGGAGGGACTATACCCCTAGCATAATTACTGCAGTTTTTGGTACTGAGCACTGAACTATAGGTTTGATCTGCTGTGTTGCTAAAAGAAACAGTAGAATTGTGAGATTGTAGAGGAAGGAAAAAAAGAGATGAAAAGCTTTTCAAGCCATTACATGATACAGTATGTATTAAAATAGGGGTGGCACAGGCAGATTGGGTTAGGAGCATGCCTGGGCTCATTTTCCTCTTGAAGGCATCCCTGATTGTGTCAGAGGAAGGGAATGAACAGGCTGCATGTGTGTGTGGGTGTGTGCACCTAAAAATATATGCCCAGGTTTCACACAGATACGTTTGTATTTGATTTCTATTTGACAGTATTCTGTGAAATAATTTCTGTTCATTCTGAACCTGGCCATATAATACAAAGCCTGCTTCCTAAAACAGGTGCTGCTACAGAATTTTGCCATTGACTTGGTACAGGAATATGTTTTGGCCTTAAATATGTCTGCTAGTCATTGAGCCTCCTGCAGGTTTGCTTTTCATTCAGTAATGTCCAACCAGCATCAGTGGGATGTGGAGAGAAGCTAAAGCAGCTGGTATAGCTCCTTAATCCACAGACCACCTGATCAGAAACTCACATGAGCTAGTTTGTAGAGCCAAGCCAGCTGTGGTGGCATCCAGGAGAGACTCTCAAGTCATGTATCAAGAAATTTTCTCCTTCCTCACATGAAGAAAACACTTTCTTTTTTGTACCTTTCCTAATGTACCTCCCTGAGGTGCTGTATATTCAAGAGTTTGCATTCAGCTCCATTATATAATGTAACCCTGAAGCTACCCCTTTTGTTAAACACGCAGTGTACTTGTTTTCATGTGAGAAAATCACGTGTGCAGATCACATCCATCTCACAGTTTCTGTGTCCCATTTTCCTGGCTACATACTCATCTAATAGGCAATTGAAAAAAGTAAAAGACTCCTGCTGAATCTTTTCAAAATAAATTCTCCCTGGTTATCCAGATAGAGTTACAGAGTAATAAATCAATGCTGCCTTTGTGTGATGCCTGCATGACACTAACACAAGAGTCATAACTGTGGAATGGAGTCTGGGGAGATAGAAGGTAATCCAGCCATAATATCATTATGTATATTGCTAATTGCCAAATGCTCCAGCCTTTTTTCCCTAATTTTCTTTTTTTTTTTTCAGTGCCTGAACTTTTAAATGAGTCTGTCTCCAGCTGAAGTAATACTTGTATTTGCGATGTGATGAATGTAGACTCAGTTTAATTGCCTGAGACTTGTTCTGAGAAACATCCCTGCTAGCTGATTACTTGTATAATGTTTGCAAACCTCCCAATCTCCACATGACAACCCAATCCTTTTGTATTTGTATATTTAGGAGGCATCATTCCATTGGCACAAGACACAAGTACTAGCTGAGGATACTTGGTGTCTCTGAGCCGAGCTCTTCCTTTTCCATGTATTTTATGAGACCTGGAGGCAGACAGCACCTCTTGAGATCAGAAACGAGGAAGACTGAGAAACCGAATCAGAACCTAGAATCACTATTTTAATAATAAGGGAATATTTTCTTTAAAGCTTTGTTTAAGTGATTGCTATGGTTACAACCCCTGTAACAAGGATATTCCGATTATACAGATAATTGAATTTAGCCTGCTTTTAAACCCGTTTTATGCCAAAGACTATATTGAACTGGGTAAGTCTTTCCTTGCCATCGGATGGCCTCTCCATTCAGGCAGGCAGGCTGGCTGGAGTAAAAAAGTGCAGAATAAGGGCCATTTCCAGCCAGAAG